ATTATTACGTTAGCTATGCATTGTATGGGAAGGAAATTTATACGAAATTGAAGACCACCGTTTGCTCTACAAATAAGTTCCTAATGCATTTTTTAATATTTTGCAACCATATTTTGCAACCGTTACGCCACAGTGGCATCCCAAAGCTCAGAAATTTTATAGCGAATTCCAGTTTTATTCCATTATCTCGTCACCTATTCACAGATTTAGCACCCCCCTAACCGAGAAGATGAGAGGTAAAAAATACATAAATGCATGAAATATAATTGGTACATACTTAATACTGTTATTTATGATAAATCAATTAGATAGGCCCTTATGATAACATGAGGTGAAGATCATTGGCGAAAAAAAAGAAAAAAGGAAATTTGCGTGACGTTTTCCGACCTTAGAACGTAGAAAGTGCATAGGGAATAATTAGTAGACAAATTTCTGACCTTCATACATTGGCAACATGCAACAGCAAATGAATAGAATAAAACTGGAATCCGCTCCTAAATTATTACTGAACTTTGAGACGCTACTGTAGCGTAACGATTGCAAATATAAAAAACATGCATCAAGACCTTATTTGTGGAGCATATGGTGGTCTTCAATTTCATATAAATTTCCATCCCACAAAACATAGGTAACGAAATAATCGCAAAAGAGTGGTTGCGACTACTTCCATAAGGGGCAGGGGTAGTTTCCAGAGAGATGTTGCATTGGGTAGATATATTTTTGGAAAGCTTATTTAGTGCGCTACGGACCTATGCGAAACAAAAAGCAAAAAAAAAAAAAAAAAATCACCACCTTAATTTTTTTTTTTCGTCTAGTGGGGATGTACTAGAAAAATGATTTTCGTGTTGATGCATGTATGTTGGAGGTGAGCACAAAATAATATTTGAACCATTCACATGAAGGGCATTGTGTGCGAGAAAATTAGAAAAAAGGCATTTTTCTTTCAAATTTAATTTTTTTGGGGTGGTTGCAGGTAGAAAATAGGGGTGCATTATACGAAATTTTCAATATCATTCCTACATCAAAAATCCCTGAAAATTTGAACAACCTAGGATTAGCCCTTCAGATGATATGAAAGGGGGATGTTTAAATTTCAACACTCTGTATATCTTAAACGGGTAACTGTTTTCAAATAAAACATATACCAAAAAATCGGCCAATTGTTTATGAGAATTTGCTGTATGGTTTGTGATGGATTCGCTTTACTGTTCAGTAAAAAAATAATAATTTCCAAAACATCTTTTTTCAAGGTCATTCAACTTTGGAGCGCAACCCCGAATAAAGGGTAGGTAATAGGCATATGCTGTCGCTGGCTAAATTGTAGAGAATTTAGTCCTCTGCAATTTACTATGGAGGTAGCGGAAGCGCTACGTTACAGAAAAACGAGCAGAAAAATTACAAAAACGACCTTTAGGGGGATGAAGGGGGAAGTTCCAGGGTGAAATTTTGTTGGAAAAAGTTAGACCCATAAAAAGCAGCCCTTGTGCTAGAAAAAAAAAATAGAACTTGTGTCGAGTTTGCGAGGTTCAACCTCTATTTCCTGGCCTATAATGAAAAAGAAGAAATCGATCTTTGATGGATCTATAATACTCATCTTCAAGGTCATTGCTAACTTGTAAAACACAAACCTTCCCTGTAAGCATGAACAAAATAAAATAATATAAACATATACAGAGAGCACTCAAACTCTCACAAGTGACAAAACATGGCCTTACTATTAAAATTTTAAAAAACACATCAAGAAACTATCAAAAACATCCCATTCACACACAAAAAAACCTTTCGAAGCATCACCTCTTTCTCTCTTTCACGACACTTTAATAGCTTAGCATTATCACCCATACATGTTTATGATGTTACTAACACATTAGGTACTAAGATCTTGGGTATCAGTTTTTACATTTACACAGTTGTACAAGTTAATATACATCATTCCACTAACAAATCTCTTTCGATAATTTGGTTCACAATCCAAAATCGTCACATTTTCAAAATTAAAATGGCGGCCGGAATCAAAATGATGGTATGCCAGAGCTGTTTTGTTTTCATCCTTGCTTGATAAAGTTAGAATAAAGTAACGAAACGTAGCATACTGAACCTATTGTGTTGTATTCTATCTGACTCTCCTATTACCCACGATCCAACACAACAAAAAATGTTTTTTAGATTTTCGAAATCGAATTTAAAAATAATATGATTTGAAATTTTTCTAATGACAAAAAGCCTGAAGATGGAAAAGTAAAAGTCATTTAACTGGAAAATATTGAGATCTAACACATAGTATTGGTATCTCAAATTTTCAGCACTCGTTTTCTATTCCTGCGATTTTCCTCAATGTCTTATTGAAAATATTATGACTTATTATTTCATTTTTCAACTTACCTAGTTATGGATATGATAAAAATATAGGTATCCTAGAACAAATTAAAAATACATTTGCAAAGTCAATATTGTTTGCTAGAATAAGGCACCTTGCATGAATTTTTTTTATTGCTGATTTCGTTAGTCAATAAAAAATTAGTCAACACGTGTTTTTTCTTTTTCTAGTTAGTCAAAAATTGAAGGAGATATGACGCTTTGAAATGTACTTATTCTCCATATCCTATGACGTCACACATGCTTAATATATCTATATACAGGGTGTCCCAGGAAAAACAGTCCACCCCGATTTATTAGATTTGGGATGAGAATCTGGAAAAACTCTCGGACTCGTCAATTTTTGATTCGAGGGGGAAGTATTTTTCAGTTTTTTTCATCCTCGTAGCTTCAACCCCCTAGCTAGGGGGAGAACAACCCCCCAAATTTGAATAGGGGATAGGGGTCGTGTTATATCTCTTTTTAAAGATCTTATAAAGATCTTCATGAACCTAGAATTTCATCTCATTATTTTCATCCGTAACGAAATGACAGCTTGTCAAAATCTTGGAAATAGACTATTATTTTAGTGGGAGTAAAAGCGATACTTACCTCCCTTAATAAAAATACTTGAAATTAATAGCTATTTATGTACCAAGGGGATTATGTAGATTATAATGCCCGAAGGCGAAACTAGCCCGAGGGCCTTTGGCCCGAGGGATATATTTCGCCTGAAGGGCATTAATATCTTAAAATCCCCGTGGTGCATACAATGCTTTATTTTCTACTCAACACAATGTTCTTTCATCGATTTATTATTAATAAAATCAGTTAAATTTGTGTGACAGAATATTGTTTTGTATTTTGACATGTACCTGTACCTGTGACCTGTACCTGTGACCTGTACCTGACCTGTACCTAGAAACGAAATATATTAATATATCTATAAATATCTCATAAGGCAAGGCAATGGTGGTGGTCGTGTGGGTTAACGCGCTGGACTATATGGGGAACGTTGATGGTAGGCACAGGCGCAGGCCTATTCTCTATGAACAGCAATTACATAGCAACTAGCAACCGGTCGCTAGTTGCTTTTTTTAAATGGAAAACTCTCCTCAAATAGCGATTTGACAGCGTCAATTGCGCAATTCTCTCGGTTGCAAGTTACAGAATAAGGCTGCGGGTTCGAATCCTGGCTAGACCGAAAACTATTTTCGGTCAGACATTTAGTGGCTGCCTAGGGTGAAGTGCAAATTAATAAAACTACAACAACAAAAACACCTCAGGGTATTATAAGCGGGCGTTATAGATCATAACGCCCGCAAATACGGGCGTTATGGATCAGGTTGTTATAGGTATGTTAACATATTTCGTTTCCTAGGTATTATGGATCTATAATAGTTAAGTAGAAAATAAAGTTTTTTATTATTATTATTGATGAGGTGTACTCGAGAATTGTAAATTGTAGGTATTTTTACTTGTATTTTGATTAAGGGACGTAAGTACCGCTTTTACTCCTACTAAAACAAAGGTCTATTTCTAAGATTTTGACAAGCTGTCATTTCGTTACGGATGGAAATAATAAGACGAAATTCCAAGGCCATAAAAAACTCGATGAGACCTTTGAAAAGAGGTATGACACGACCCCTATCCCCTATTCAAATTTGGGGGGTTGCTCTCCCCCGTAGCTAAGGGATTGAAGCTACGGGGATGAAACGAACGGAAAAATAGTTCCCCCTCAAATCAAACATCGACGTGTCCGAGCGTTTTTCCAGATTCTCATCCCAAATCCAATAAATCGGGGTGGACTGTTTTCCCTGGGACACACTGTATACAAAACTTAATATTTGTATAACTTTCGGAATAATCATATTTGAACCAAATAAAAAAATACCTATCGATTTTTTTTCGATTTCCTACAGTTTGCAATAAACAATAATCAATTTAATTTTTCATGCAAGGTCCCTATTACAAAGTATTAGTGAAATAATGAAATAGTTATTTGGGCAACCAGTTTGGAAAAGCACTATTTTCCGTAACGAGCACATTTCTGCGAGTTACGAAAAATAGTGTTTCCCAACGTGTTTCATACAATATTTTTTCAAATTTTGACATGATGATTCAAGTTGAAAATATAAAAAACGTGCTTCGAATATGTAGGGGAGACTAGGGAGGCTTGAGACAAGGGAGGAATGAGACACTACATGTATTTCCTGAAATCAGCCCAGCAGAGCCATCTAGTGGTCACTGGTGCATAGCTTTATTCAAATATCTTACCGCTTTTCCAACAAACCGGCGCCAGTCGGTAGTAAAACGTTGTTGTTAGTGCACGTGAAAAATTGCCGCCAAAAGTAAAATTTTATTTTGTGACATCGCACTAGTTTGGAGCAAGTTAAAGTGAAAATCCGGGTTGATTCTTTAAGCGTAGTGACCACAGGTATGTTTTGCATAAATCATATAGCTATCAAGTTAATTAGATGTAAAATAAGAATTTTAGGTTCTATTATTTCACAAAATGTTACATAGGGAGACATGAGACAGTTGTTTTGGGGAGCCATGAGACGTCTCAACCCTCCCTATCTAGTATTTTTAAATAATTAGAAAATGCTAATCTGATTAAAAAAATTATGATAATATTGTTTCAGATACAATATGCCGCATTTCTGGATTAAAAAGACGAAACGAGTAGTTCCTCCGCCTGACGTTATGCAAACAGCTGTTGAAGAGGTTCTTGCGGGAGCAAAATTACGCCCAACTGCAAGGAAATATGATATAGACAAGGAAACCCTTAACAGATATGTGAAGAAAAGGTCCTTGGTTGCTCCTGCAGATAACATTGCTTACTCACCTGATTTTAAAACTGCATTAGTGTTCACCCATGAAGAAGAGGCTCTCCTATCAGATTATCTAGTCCGTGCTTCGCAAATGCATCATGGATTAACAGTCACATGTGCACGTCAACTGGCCTTTCAATTTGCTAGGGCCAACCATAAAAGATATTCTAAGAAATGGGATGAAAAATTCATTGCCGGCTACGATTGGTATCGCGGCTTTAGACATCGTCATCCCGAGTTATCGCTAAGGACTCCAGAGTCAACCAGTTTATCACGATGTACGAGTTTCAACCGCACAAATGTTACCACTTTTTTTAACAATTTAGAATCGGTTCTTAAGCGCGACAAGTTTGAACCTCATCAGATCTGGAACATTGATGAAACGGGGCTTACAACAGTACACAAACCACCCAAAGTCCTGGCAGCGAAGGGTGTTAAACAAGTTGGAAATGTTACGTCGGCTGAACGAGGCACGCTAGTTACTGCGTGTTGTGGTATTAGTGCTGGAGGGACATTCATCCCTCCGTTTTTCGTCTTTCCACGGGTAAATTTTAAGGAATACATGCTAGCTAACGCTTTTCCCGGAAGTGCTGGAGTTGCTTACCCCAGTGGATGGATGTCCGCCGAAAATTTTATTGTTTTCATGGACCACTTTATAAAGCACACTGGTTGTTCCATGGAAAATAAAATATTGCTACTTATGGTTAACCACGAGAGCCATATTTCCGTCGATTCTCTGAATAAAGCCAAGGAAAATGGAATTTTAATGCTCACGTTTCCGCCACACTGCAGCCATAAACTGCAGCCCTTGGATGTATCGGTTTACTTCCCCTTCAAAAATTTTTATAACTCGCAGTGTGCATCATGGATGGATTCAAACCCAGGTCAAACCTTATCGATCTATAATATTGCTTCTTTAGCTAGTCGAGCGTTCGAATTAGCTTTCACTCCAAAGAATATTGTATCAGGTTTTTCAGCGACTGGCATTTGTCCTTTAAATCGTGACGTGTTTACTGAAATTGATTTTATGTCCAGCGCAGTGACAGATCGACCGCTGGCAACTATAAGTACAAATCTAGAAGATGAAGCACCTAGATCAAAAATCGGCATGCAAGGGGAAATAGTGGAGCCTGAAAACTATATAGAATCTAAAGCCTCAACTTCAAAAGCCCAAGGACAAGAGAACAGTTCAAACACTAAACAAAATTTTGTTAGTCCCGAAATTTTAAGACCACTTCCGAAGGCAGGTCCCCGAAAGCAGATTACAAGGCCAAAACGTGGTTCCTCAAGAATTCTTACAGACACGCCAGAGAAAGATGCTATAGAGGCTGAAGCAAGTGCTCGAAAGATGAAAAAAGTGGTTCCGTTGAAGCATGGCAACCTTTTTTTAGAGAAGAAAAAATCTGTACAGAAACCTGCAACTCCACCTCAGTCTTCTTCAAGTGATGAAGAGGAACAAATTCAGTCGGGCGGGAGCAGCGAAGATGTTTCAGATGTTGAAAGCTACGAAAGAGAAATGCTTCAAATGAAGGCTCTTGAGGATCTCAAGACTCTCCAAGCAGGAGACTTTGTTTTGGTTAAGTTTTGCACAAAAACTTCAATTGTCCATTATGTGGGTCAAGTAATATCAAAGCACGATGATGAATACGAAATTAAATTTTTGCGTCGTCACGGAACCACCTGTGGGCCGATCCTCGGGCCAGGGAGTGGAACTCCCCGAGAGAACAAAATTTTCGTCTTTATCATTCTCGTTCACTTTTCGATTACGTTGAGAAGGACAAAACATTCGTTCTATCGGGGAGCTCTACTCCCTGGCCCGAGGATCGGCCACCTGGAAATTTGTTTATCCACCAATAGAAGATTTATCTTCAGTTCAAGAACAAGACATTCTTTTGAAATTACCGTTTCCAAAAAATGTGGGTGGAACAGAAAGAGTCAAATCTACATTGACGTTTGGTTTGGACTTTCGTCATTATAAAAATGTTCGTTAATTTTCTTTATTATTATTATTTTTTCAATAATTAATGAACATTTTCCAAAAGCTTACAACGTCTCAATGCTCCCTATAACCTGTCTTAACGCTCCCTCAGCTAGGGAGCCTTGAGACAATTTACACCATTTTGTTGAAATATATCTAAACCATCAAAATATTATTTTGGAGGCATGAAAAAATATGGCAAGTTTAGCTAAATGGTACACCATTCACTGGCAATATATATTATCTTTAAATTGTGAACTGTAAAATTTATTAAAAATAAAATTAATTTTTTGTCTCAAACCTCCCTGGTCTCCCCTACAGGGTGTGAATTTGAAAACTTCCCACCCCTATTATCTCGGAGTAAAAAAATTTTCGAAAAAATCCCTGAAACACGTCAACTATAATTTGAAGGGCGATGAGCTTTTATGCAAAATTCACCTTCCCACTTTCAACCCCCCAGCCCCCAGAGGCACCCCCTAGAAAATTTTAAATGGGAAGGGGAGTCGAGTAATACAGAATTTTGCAGAGTTTTTAATTCCATACATTTTGGTACTAAATTTTAGTCCCTAAGTTTAACTGTTTTGGGAATATTGACAGTTGAAAATTGACTTTTTCGCAACTTTGACAGGCTGTAAAACCTAAACGGTTGATTTTAGAGGAAAACCGATCTTACATTCTTGTCTTAGATTTTCATAAACTATCATTTGCCAGCAACTTTGAATTTAATCCATGATCAAAAATTCTGGTTAAAAATTCAATCTCCGGTTAAATTCAAAGTTGGTGTCAAATGATAGTTTATGGAAATCGAAGATGAGAATGTAGGATCGGTTTTCCTCTAAAATTAACCGTTTAGGTCTTACAGCCTGTCAAAGTTGCAAAAAAGTAAATTTTCAACTGTCAATTTTTCCAAAAAAGTTGAACTTAGGGACTAAAATTTAGTACCAAAATGTATGGAATTAAAAACCCTGCAAAATGATGTATCACTTGACCCCCTTTCCCATTTAAAATTTCCTAGGGGGTGGCTCTGGGGGCTGGTGGGTTGAAAGAGGAAAGGTGAATTTTGCATAAAAACTCATCCCCCTTCAAATTATAGTTGACGTGTTTCAGGGATTTTTTCGAAAATTTTTCTACTCCGAGATAATATGGGTGGTATGAATAAAAACGAAGTACTTGCTACTACTACAAGTATTAGTATGTTCTACGTAGTATTTACTTCAAAACGAAGTAGATACTACTAATTTACTAATTTCCGGTAGTGTCGAAATGTAGTATCTACTTCGTTTTGGAGTAAATACTACGTAGAACATACTAATACAGTAGTAGCAAGTACTTCGTTTTTATTCATACCACCCAATAGGGATGAGAAGTTTTCAAATTGACACCCTGTATGTCTAGATCGTCAAGGGTCAAATGAGTTCGGAGATGTTTTTTTGTAATTTTGTTTTTCGATACTATCCGCTATTAATTAGGCACTAGCTGACGTCACATACATAACCTCCCTTCCGTTGGGGAGACAAACAAAGCGTTTGCACACAGGCGCCAGCTTGTCACAAATGACATAACGTGACTTTCGTTAGGGGGACAAACATGTCATTGAGGTCATGTGTGAGACGTCAGCTAGCACATAATTAGGCAATTCAAACCACGTGACATTCAAGATGGCGTGGCGGCCACACATGGGCAAAAAAACACAAAAAAATATCTAGTTTCTGCCCAAATTAATAGTTTAGGTACCTAGTCAACAAATATTTAATAAATAATGAAAATCAAAGTTGTAAGCAAAACTGTATGCAAAATAATTTAAAATACGCATAAAAACATATTCAAAACAAACTTGTTTGGCCGCCACGTCACATTGAATTTTCCTTTTTGACAGATGGATTGAATTGCCTAATTGCTATGGAAGCAAGTATTAAAGTGTCAAGCATAGAGGTGTCAAGTCTGCATCAGTCTGAGTTTCTATTATAATTTCCGGAAAAGTGTTCTTATCAAACGTTATAAACTAAAGATTAAAGAATAACTGTTCGAATGTCGAATTCTGAAAGCGACGACGTACCGAGTGACATAGAAGAAGCGGCCCAATCTACCTTATCCACGATCATTCCAAAGAAATCTAAAGGCAAAAAATATGATTTGGCATATGTCAAATTCAATTCATGGTGCGAACAAAAAAAAATTAATCATTTGAACGAAAAAGTTTTGTTGGCGTATTTCCAAGAGAAGAGGGAAATGAAGAATTCAACGTTATGGAGTTTATATTCGATGTTAAGAACCGAATTGTCCCTAAAAAAAATTGATATCAAGAAGTATACAAATTTGGTCGCGTTCTTGAAACGTCATTCCGAAAATTACCATCCTAAAAAATCGCAAGTCTTACATAAGGAAAACATTGCCAATTTTCTGAACAAAGTAAGTGTAAGCCATTATTGCCTTATCGTCATCATTATATCTTTCTCTGCGATCCGCCTATTTGTGAGCACTACTGATATTTTTCCATTTTAATTTCAGATAGCATTAATTGTTGGAGTTGCTGGATCTTGTCCAAAAAGTAAATTAACTTTTCTTCGCGTAGAAAATGTAGTATTTCAGGAGCAGTTAAGTGACCATACCCAACACAGAGACGAAAGTATGTCGAGAATTTGCTATAACCACTGGTGCTTTTGGCGGAATAAATTTCATTGAAATGATGAAGAAATACGTCCTGCTGAGGCCATCAATTACTAAGCATGACAGGTTTTTTGTCAAATATTTAAATGGGAAATGTAGAGTTCAACCTGTAGGTATTAATACCTTTAACAATTTGGTCATTGCTTTCGACGGTCATCGACAACTCTCCTTGCAGATTCTGGAGCCGATTTGCTGCGAATTAAACAGCATGGGGGGGTGGAAGGTGGAAGTCCAATGCATTCGCTGAAGACTATATGGAGAATTCCATGACGAATAAAAAGAAAATTGCCTCCAACATCCTTGGAGAGACTTCTATAAGTTCCATGGAAAATACGCAAATTAATGCTACACAGAAAACTACTTTGTCAGCTGGGGTTAAAATCACCAATTGTTCAAATTGTGTTGTCAATATTTATAATTAGTTATAATTTTTTCCACACACTATGCTATCGATTAGAATAAAATTAAATTTTCATAGTATGTAGAATATATTATAATAATATTATAATATTATAATAACATAAAATAATATTAAATAAATACTTTAAGTAGTTTAGCCTTGAAATTACCACAAATTTTATTTCTGTATTTTTTGCAACTGATGGTGAAATTTACTTTTTCTACGAGCGTGGTTTGCGTGCGAAAAAGTACCACTTTTCCGCACTGCGTGCGCGAAAAAAGTTTTTAACGCACGCTGTGCCCGAGAAAAGTTTTTCACACACTGATTTATTTTTTATTTATTTTTTTCAATTTTTCTCTTCATATATCATGCTTTTCAAAAATTTTAGATTTTTTTGAAATTCCTCCACAGTTTTTTCTCTTCAAGAAAGCTATTAGGTTTTTGTACTGACCAATATCGACCTCTTTAACGAGTTTTATACCATAAATAATTAATTCTTCTTATAATAAAAATCATTGTTAATGTTCTGTTGTTAAAATCATTGCGTTACTAAAATTAATTGAAAAATCACATTTTTGACCATTTCTCTTATCAATAGAGCCAAAAACAAACAAAAAAACAATATGTCAATTTCCGCACGCTCGTAGGAAAAATGTTGTACCTAACACGAGCGTAAAGTATCTTTTTCGCACTTACGGCTTGCACGAACTCCGCTGGCGCCTCGTTCGTGCAAACGCCGTTGCGTGCGGAAAAGTATAACTTTCCGCACTTGTTAGGTAAATAACTATTTCATTACCAATTGCGAAAAATTTTACTTTTCGCAACTGGTGATGAAAATTAAGACATTTGATAACTTCAACGAATTTTGAAAGGTTTCACTTTAAATGTCAAAATTAGAAAAATTAAATTGTTTTAATTTGTTTCACGACAATTTTCTCAATAATATTATTTATTTTCAAACGTCATATAACAGTAATTTTTGTGACCATTTTGACAAGGTATAAGTGTCACTTCAATGACTTTCAGCTTGAGCGGCGTATAAGTGTTATACTCCGCCAGGGGCCTTATTCTGTAAGGAACAACCGTTCGATTCGGTAGAATTTCTTCGATTGTGACGTCATTTTCGGTTTAGTTTTCGCTCGTTTTCGCGCTACCAAAGCGAAAATGACGTCACAATCGAAAAAATTCTACCGAATCGAACGCTTCGTTTCTTACGGAATAAGGCCCCAGAGTATAACACTTATACGCCGTTACACATGTTTTTCCATAGTGATTTAAGGTAGTTTACCTGTACATACAGGTATAGGTGCTTATAAAGGTGATCCTTCTAAATATGAATGTCATTATTTAAATTAAAAATTCTGCACTATTCAGATTAAGGATTGTTTGAAATAAAATATTGTATTTCATTCGGAGTATAAGTATTGTTCATGTGACTTGCATGGATTTGATTCGCCTCGCTGCGCTCGGCGTTCAAACTTCCATGTGCGTCACATAAGTATTACTTATACTCCTAATAGAATAAATGTCTATTTTGCACGATCGGGCGGTAAATTCAACTTACCGCCCGTCTCTT